TTGTCCTCAATGCTTGAAATTTTACTGCTAGAAGTTAGCATCTAATCTCCTCAGTTTTGAAATATTTTTGTATTTTTTATGTTCAGGTCACTCATTAATTTTTGAATGAGGGGCCATTCTTTGAACTTCATAGTTTAACATCTTAAAAGGGACTCACAAAAAAATTCTAAAAATGACAAGTCACGATACAGGTGTCATACTTGAGATCTCATCTTCTTCAGAGCTGCCCCACTTCTGAAACAAAACATCCGTACGCTCCATCCTTCGAGCACAACTCTGAGGCTTCCCACCTTCCTCTGAGTTACTTCCACCTCACTGCTCTTCAGCTTTCAGGAGACCACTCTTTTCATGAGAGTTTTATGGTCTGTGTCAAATATAAGACATATATGAACAGGTAACTGTAATTCAAGGTAACGGGCAAGAGTCCCTGTCTGCTATTTCCCACCATTCTGCTTAAAAAATAAAGCATTACTGTGGTAGGCTAATAATGTCCTTCAAGTTTATGTTAAGTGAAATAAATCCGGAGGAAGACAAATACTGGACGATTTCAAGCATATGTGGAATATAGAGAAACAAAACAAATGGACAGACAAAACTAAGCCAAACAAACCCCAGAAATATGACTGTAAAGTTTATCTACTAGGGGGGGAAGGTAGGAGTGGGGACAAATTGGGGAAGGGGCCCAATGGACTATGGTGGAAGATTATGGGTGTTTTGCGGATGGGTGTGGAGCAGTGACATACATCTGAAGAGGTATGAGTCTATGCCTCTGAATCATGTGCAGTGTCATAAATTAATGTTACCTCAATAAAGAAATACAATATTAAAAAAATAAAATTAAATGTCCTTCTAAAGTTATTAGACCCTACTCCCTGAAACTTCTAAATGTTAATTTAGTGAATGAGTTTTTGCAGATATTATTAAATTAAGGATCCTGAGATGGGAAGTTTATCTGATTTATTCAGGTGAGATCTAAATGTCATCCCAATGGAGGCAGAGGGAGACTTCACACACACAGACACACACATACACACACACACAAACACAAAAGCCCCATGAAAACAGAACAGAAAGATATTTGAAGATGGGAGTGATACAGCCACAAGCCGAAGAATGTCAGAGACCCCTGGAAGGTAGAAGTAAGGAAGAGATTCTCTCTTGGAGCTTCCAGAGGAGCACATTCTACCCACACTTTTCATTCTGGTCCAGTGACATCAAATTTTTTTTTTTAAAGATTTATTTATTTGTGCATACAAGAACTAGGGTGTAGGCCAGAGGTGTGGGGGTGAGAGGACTCACCAGAGAGAGTGGGGAGCAGAACAGGTGGATCTGCTGAAATACACTGCTGAGGGGAGCAGTGGCCCAAAGAGGAGAGGTCTGCTGTGCCACGAGGGTGAGCTCCCTGGCTTGGGATTGAACTTGTGTTGCAGCTGGGGATTGAACATGTGTTGCAGCTTGATAGCACTGTGTCTTTAATCCCTGTGCCACCAGGGAGGCCCTGACATAGATTTTAGGCTTCAGGCCTGCAGAACTCTCAGAGGAGAAATTTCTATGATTTTTCTAACTCCGGTTTGTGGCAACTTATTATAGCAGCCACAAAAAATTAATACAACTTATTAATTGTTTAATTGTGGAAACACCCTGTGTTCCCCTAGTCGACTGCTACCTCCTTCCTTCTACCTCCAAAGGTAACCAGGGTCTTGGGTTTAGTTTATTAGTCCCTGAATTTCATTATACTTTTATTACATATGTATATATTCTGAAATAATGCCATTTTATATATAATATCCTACTGTAACCACATTTTAAATTTTATCCTTATGCATTTTTTTATTTATGCATGTTGGAGTATATTTTGTAAATTATATATATTGATACATATAACTGGAGTTCATTTTTACTGTGACATAGAGTTACTGTGCGTGTGTGTGTGTGTGTGCGTGTGCCACAATTTTAAAATCAATCCTGCTGTTGAGGTGCATTTTGGTTGTTTCTATTTTCTCAGACAGGAATGCAATGTACTTTTTTTTTGGTACATGGTTCCTTTTACGTGTAGGAGTATGACTTGGATATTTGCCAGGGAATGCAATTACTAGACCAGAGATTGTGTTATCCTCAACTTTTCTAGATACTGCCAATCACTCTGAAAAAGTACTTGTGAACACTTGGGGGGTTGGATTTTGAAACAGGATTTCAATGAGGGGAATGATGTGCACCAAAGGCGTAGAGATGAACCAAAATGGGAGACCCTAGCAGGGATACATAGCCAGTTCTCTTCCACAAAGCAGTGGTTCTCAAAATCTGAATTAGTTGGGGATTTTTTGCAATCTTTGCTTTCTTTTGCTTTATCACCATCCTGGGATATATTTGAGTAAATGTGACATGCCTTCATTGAGAACCAGTAGACTGGATGCCTGGCAAGGAGCAAAGGGAGAAGAGGCAGAGAGCAGGCCTGGGAGGAGCACCAGGAGGACAGAGCCGTCAAGCAGGACAGTGCATGTCAATCAGGGACATTAGTGTCTTGAAGCAGACTGAGCACCGAGCCTGTGGCAGGTATCCAGCGGCATCAGCAGGGCTTCACTTCCTTAAGTTTAGAGATTTGACCATGTATATCAAGTTTAACTCTGTTTGATTTGAGGGCTGCTCTAAGTAAAACAATGAAGAGTATTTTTGTGCATACATCTTCCCTTTCAACTGGATTGCATACATTTTTAAATTATGTGGAAAAAATAAATTACATGGAAATTATATACTCTGAGCACCTTCACAATATGAAATGTAACCTTGAATGTTTGTTTAAAATGTGTATGTATTTGCTAGAGATTTAGACATAAGAAGTTATGGGCAAAATAATAGGATGTGATATCTGGGATTTGCTTTACATATTCTAGAAGAAGAAATGGAGGGTGGTTGGTGATAGCAAAACAAGATTGGTGAAGGGTTGTGGATCATTGGAGTTGATGATAAGTAGGTGGGGATTTGTTATACACTATTGTCTGTAGTTTATAATTTATCCCACTTCCCTTCTTTTCTTCCTTTCAGATTTTTTTTGGCTATTTTCCCCATTTTTCTCTAGCTACTTAAGTCCCTATACTGTCTTCTGGCGTTGCCCAAGGTTTTTTCAGGTTCACTCACAGCTGATACTTGTTTCACAGTTTGCCCCAGCCAGCCAGCCAGCCAGCCAGTCAGCCAGCAATTCATTTACAAAAAATTTGTGTCTTTGTGATGGGCAAGATGCTGCAAAATGTGCAAAATGCAGTTCCTTTCATTGTTTTTGATGTTACCAGACAGCTGTTAGGAGGAACTCAATCGCAACACATTTTGTCCTATGAGAGACAGAAAAGCAGCTGAATGCCCTTGGAAATAACTATATTTTAGTAGAGCAAAGTGACCTCCAGTGCCTGGGCAGTGAGATAAAACACCGGGTGTGACAGCTGGCGAGCCAGGGAGAGAGGATCACTCCTTCAACATCTACCTCCTCCTTGCCTCCTTCTTTGCCTCATCGTTTTCAGCCTTTAAGAATTTCAGACTGGGCCTCCCTGGTGGTGCAGGCGGAAGCGCTGCACTGCGAAGCTGTTCGCAGCCTCTGTAGCACGGGTTCGATACCGGCTGGCCAGCAAGAATCCCACATGGTGCAGCAGACCTCTCCTGTCTCACCCGCTGCTCCCCTCAACAGTCTATTTCGTCAGTCTGACTGTTCTGTTCCCTGCTTTGTCTCTGGCGAATCCTCTCACCCTCCTGCGCATCTGGCCTGTACCCCAGTTCTTGTATATATAAAAATAAATCTTTTAAAAAAAAAGAATTTCAGACTGGAAGCTGCATTTTGAGGTTAAATTTAGTAAAATTAAAAAGCTATACTATTAAGGTCCTTGGGATTTCTGTAAACTTTAATATAAAGCATTGAGTCTCTGGTGAAGGTTCACGGATGTATTGGTGGTGGAAATTTTACAGGGACTACACCTGAGAGGAGAAAGCAAACATTGTACAAAAATGGAGATATATATATATATAAATTGATATAAAAATGGATATATATAAATGGATATATATATAATCTAGAGAAAGGGAAAAAAGTATTGAGTCTCAAGAGTTCAAGAAAATGAGTATTTTATATTCATACTGAAAAAGCAAAAATATAATTACACGACTTAATTTCCTATTCATTTCCCAAAACTAGATTCATTTCCCAAAACATTACTAGATTATAATGCTCTGTGAGTTAAGTGAAGTTGCCAGGTGATAATTCTGAGGTCTTTTTGATTTTAAAATTCACAATATAAAAAAATTCCCAAAGAGGCTCTTGCCTTCCTGAGGGTAGAACACCCCAAGATGTGACTGTTTGACTCTCATGGTTACCTGTGTCTTGCAGGCTTCAGGCTTTCGCAAAGGTCTCATGGTTCTGTCCACACACTTCTACCTTCTAACTGTCAGCTGGGATTATAATGGCAAGTTGATTTCTTAGTCATTTTCACTTGTCTGTGAACTTCTTTGGGAGGATGAGGGTTTTATATGTTTTAATGTTTGGAATGCAGTTTGGCCTCAATGAACATCAGTTGAATGAAAGACAAAAAAAATACTTATTGTTTTAAAGATTAGCCCCATAATCTTCTCCCTCATAGATTCTCTTCTCTCCAGGAAGACTCCAAATTGGTCCCATTCTTCAGCCTCAATCTGGAGACCTCCTATTCTGAAAGAGACTCAAACTGCTCCCCAAAACCCATGGTTCCCCTAAGGCGGTTACCTACTGCAGGGTCCCCTAGATTCAGGTCACTCAGCATGCACCTTGGCAATCAGCTTTTCCTTTCTAGAAATAGGATTGTTACCGCTACACTTAATCTAAATCAGTGCTTAGTTTTGTTTCAACATAACTGCTTAAGGATTTCCAAACATGAACTAATGATTAAAAACCCACATTAATTAATCCAGTTCAGAATCTATTGTGAACACAGCAGGTCACAGCAATAAGTTTATTATTAGGCATGTGAGGTAACAGGATAACATGTGGCTAAGTGTTTGGGAGACGTTCTTTGGCTTCTGCTATCACATTTCTCTTCTGGTATTTACAGTGGTTTGCCATGGTTGCCTGGTTTATCTTTATGAGGGGCGGGGTGGGGAAAAGCAAAGCAAAAGAAGGAACTTGGAGAGGATGTAGCCTCCCTTTTAGAGCCTACTTACAGGAAGTCAGGGCAGTTCACCTGATCTGTGATAGTCATTTTCTCGATGTCAATGTTATTAGAGGCCAAGATATCTTTCAGATGGGTCACTGTTTCTGGAGGGAGGTAAGGATTTCTCCCCAAGATCCAAACATAATCCATATGAAAAAGCCAGATGATGGTGGTACAAGAGTAGACGAGGGCGTAGTTCTTATAGTCGGTGGCCAGGACCCAGTACGGAGTCAAGGGCATCACTGGAAACCAGAGGAGGGGAGTATTATTAAGGGGGAGCAGGGCCAGGGCAGCCATCTCCAGGACCCGGAAGCCAGGTTCTGAGATCCTACTTTATCAATGGTTCTTCATTCCATGGGAATCATATGGGAACTCTGAAAAGTAATAGTCTTCCTCTATGCTTCCCACTCCTTCCTTCAGATTCTGACCTGGAGTGGTACTTTGGAAAGCACTACAGTGATTCTAATGTGCAGCCAGCATTCAGAGCCATCACTATGGATCCCTCTCCCTGGCAGCAGGTCTGGTTCCAGAAGCCCATTGTGTTTAATGGCACTGGAGTGTTTAATGGCACCCCCCCATCCCGGACTAAAAGGCCACACTTAGCACTACTGCATATGAGGCACCCCTTGGCTAAGGAGAGTCAAGAATGTATGGCCAGAACCCCTGGCCTTTTGAGTCAGAATCTCATAGCTGCCTTTAGAACCTACCTAAAGAAAGAGACAGAAGTTAATGTTGCTTTATTTTTTCTTCCAGCAGGGCCTTCAAAAACTCCTGCATTTGTAAGAATGTGCCAAATTGGGTGGTAACAAGTGATAAAGTCTTCCTCACAAAGGGCCTGTAAGAAATCATTGACTGACATCTGCATAGTATTGAAAGCTCAACATTACAGGGTTTCTTAAAAAGAGAGAAGGGCATTTGCTTTCTCCATCTGAACTCAGAAACTGTCTCTGTGAACGTGACCTCCACAGCCTGTGGTCCAAAGCAAAGAAAATGAACCCACTTGTTAAAATTAAGTAGAAGATGATGCCAAGCAGGAGAAAGCTGTGTGGAGACCCCATTAAGAATAAAAGACTTGGACACATATGCAGCCACAGGTGATTTGCTTTCGTGGGTTTCAAGCTCCCCATGCCCTCCACTAAAAAATGATCAGTTTGCCAAAGTCAAACCAGACCTCAGCACTCATGAACGGCCTTGAGAAGCTGGGAACAACAGAGGCAGCGTGTGAGGGGTCAGAGCTTGGCTGGGTGTCCAGGACCCAGCAGGTTCTCAGGACAAACAAGAGGGCTACTCCAGGTGACCATCCACCAGCGGCCCTCCTACCTCTGACTTCCCACCTGCTTATAAATACAAAAACAGAAGGATACTTGCAGGCTGTCTGGACACATGCCTGGACAAGGCTGCAGGGCACAGACTATTGTTCCTGATTGACTTTGCTAGCACTGTCTGTGCCCGCCTGCTGCCTACCGAGCTCACTCGTGAGAGCACACGTTCATCATTTGTCTGCTACCTTTGAATTTCAACTGTTTTGGTGTGTTCCCAGCTGGACTGAGAGTTCTTCAGCCTTGAGCGATTGGGTAGAAATGTGACTTCTGTCTTCTCCAGTAGCGGCACTTGCTCACATGCCCAAGCACGCACATTCTGTCTTCCTCCCACAGGGTCTAGCTCTCAAGCATAAACTTACCCAGATATTTCCTCTTAGTCAAAAAAACTCCCATGTCCCTTTATGAGAAAACTCAGTCTCCTCTTGCTTCTGGAAGGCACTTTGGTTTTCTATCATGGTGTTTGATGCTCTCCAGTCTTCCAGTCTCCCCGCCCCCCCTTTCAGGGACCCTCCCATGCTCTAGGCGTCTTTCTTCAGACCTTTGTCATTTCTCCACTTGGGACATCCTCTCCCATAAACCCTGTAAGCCCCCATGCAGACATCTGATTCCTTCAACCAGAATAAAATCTCATCGTCCTCTGCTTCCCCAGCTAATAGCTCCTGCCTGTCTTTTAGTTCTGATTGCCAGCTTCCTTCTGAAGGCTGTGCATATAATACTGGGTCTTCACTCCCACCGCCTTCCTTTAGTTGAGTGTTTGGAGACCTAGGTTTTCCTCCCGATTCTGCCTCTAATTAATCTAGTGACCTTACTTATATCATTAGTTTTTCTGCACTTTAACTTTCTTATTTGTAAACAGAGCAAGATAAATGGACATGCACAAAGCCCTTTACAGTTCCCAGAGCATGTTATCTAGTTTATCTTCACATCACTGCGTAGAGCAGTGAAGTTGGTGCCTGTGGTCATATGTGCAGGAAGAACTCTTTTCCTCTTAGCATTCCTTTCTTGGTCTATAAGATAAGAACACCCTCTCTGTCCCCACTCAAAGGGCTACTTGTGGGCAGGGATGTGGGTAGTGACTCCTCTTGCAGCTGCCAGCTTCAGTGTCTGTCACTTAGGTGGGGAGAGGGACTCCCAAGCACGATTTGTACTAGAAAAATCTCACATTTCTGAGCTGAATTCTCCGGTGTGTCTATAACAGCAATATGGTCTGTTGCCTTTCTCCATTCCTCAGTTACTCCAGAACTCAGAGGACAAATGACTGTGATTAAGATGTCTCAGGGACCCCAAAAATGTGAACTAGAAAGTGGCAGGCAGAGCCAGGACTCAAACTTACGTTCACTCTTGCTTGCACACTTTTGCACATATTAATTGTTGTGCTAATAACTACTAATTTTCCAGGCCTTAGTTGCCGCTGAAAGCAAGTCTGGATTAGGCATCTTAGTGTTCAGTCCTCTGTGTTTCTATCTCTGCTTCCTCTATGGAAACACCTACTGTCGTTTTATAGTAAACTACCTGGCTACTTGTCACCGGGACCTGAGCTCCTCAGGGACCAAGACCAGCTGTTTTGTTCATTATTGCAACTCTAGTGTGCTCAACAGGCAACATGTGACATGTAGTAGGTACTCAACAAATAATTATGTATCAAATCATTGCAGGTGACACTCAGATGTGATGGGGTGCTCCAAACCAGGGCTCTAGTCTTCATTTTGCAAATCACCTGTCCTTGAAACCTCCTAAGGAAAGTGGATACTTACACCAGAAATACTTAACTCCCAGCTTGGCGGGTTCTGTGAGGTTGCCCTGGGTGGCTTCACTTTCAATTTGATTCACACTTCCATCAGGCCTATAATGAGTCAAAAAAAAAATTCTTGAATTCATTAAAAGCCAAAAATCAATGAAAGGCAAGATCTATGACACTAAGGACTATTAAAGCCAACATCTTGAGTTCTGGTTAGGGCCACTCTTGAAGGCAGGGTAGTCCCTAAATCTTATCCTCACCTTTCCTTTGTGACCATCTCTGAGACCAAGTGGAGGAAGACAGCCGAGGGCCAGAAAAGTGAAAACTGAAATGCTCCAAAATAGAATAACATGGCAAGTCCTTGCACTTTGATGTTGTTTTTTGCATTGTATGCAGTGACCTACAAGGCCATTTCCTGCTCCCAGTTTCCAAAGAGAGAGAGAATAGAAAGAAGGGAGAAACAAACAAAACAACCCAATAATCTAAGAAGATTTTCTTCTTTAAGCCTAAGAACAGGCCAAAAGAAAAAAAAAAAAAAACTGCAACAAGGATTGGCTTGATTACTGAAAATAAAGTAAAATGGGTTCACAGATAGGCAAGCTTCCCCTGTTGTTGGGCCTGTCCCATATCATGTGTCCCATAAAGGGGGCCCTATGCCTAAGCTCTAAGACCCCTTCCAGCTCAGCAATCTTCTGACAGAATGTAGGAGATTTGCACACAGGCCAGGTCAAAGCAGGCAGTGCGGGAACACTGCCATTAATCAGTGATTCTCAGGGGCATTACATGTGAAGAGATGGGTACCTTACAGTGAACACCACCTTATGCTTATAATTGGCGGTGTCATCTTATTTTTCAGTGGTATATGACATTATGGTCTGTCTTAAGAGTGGTGATCTTAGACCGGATGAAACACGTTCACTCTTTTGAAGGGAGCTGGCTCCATATCTGGATAAGTCCCAGGGGTCCCACAGACCTGAGGGAGAAGGGGATGGATGCAGAGAAGGGAGGGGGCCCAGACATCAGGATGCCCTTTCTTGGAAGCCAACACAGGAGCTGACTGTTTGCCAGTCCTCAAGGGCACAGGTAAACTAACATTAGAGCGATAGCACATGTTAGAAAGTCAGTAGGCTATGGTTTGTGGTGATGGATGTCCCAGAAAGCAGACAATAAGCAATAGGTAAGGGAGGGTGGGAAATGTACACTCCTGCTCCGGGATGCCTGGTCTGTTTATCATTAAATAAGGCTGGAGATCCTGCCCTGCTCTGTCACCTGGAACTCAGCCAGGAAGATATTCGGTTTCTATGTGCAGACAGTTGCTTAGCAACAAACCAATCTCTTCCCAACAGCCTTCCCCCCTTTTCCCCATCCTTCATCTTTTGCTCCAGAATAGTTTTCAAAAGACCAGTGACTGATCATAAACTCATTAGTTGTTCATGGGGAAAATGCATTTGTATTTTCAAGGGTAGCAGCAGAATAACAACAATAGGTAACATTTATTAAATTGTTGCTATATGCCAAACACTGTTGTAGGTATTTTATATGTATTTCTCCATTTAATCACTCACATAATCCTCTGGATGGAGGGTTTTGGATCATTGCCACTTTACAGAGAAGGAAACTGAGGCTTAAAGAATTATCACAAATAAACTAAGATCACAGCATTAGTAAGTGGCAGAACCAGGAAATGAAACTGGCCAGCCTAATTCCAAAATCTGAGTCTTTTAGCTCCCAGGCCTGTGCCAGCTGCCTGGGCCCTCAAATTCTCTGGTGCTGGCTGAGTCTTCTGCTCAGACTGCCTGCCTTGTCCTCTTATTCTGTGAATTCAACATTCCTGGAAAAATAAATGATGCCATTTTCCTGAACTAACAAACCTTTCTCCAGGTTTGTCCAATTAGACATACCTTTCCAAGTGCTCTTGCTGTTAAATATATGTGGCCCTACAGGCAGAGCCTCCTAGTACTCAGGTACAGTTAAAGAGGAGATATGGCCAAGCACAGAGGAAAGGTGGGGAACCTCATGGGTTTGGGGGATCTTTGTGGTTGTCTGACTCTTGGCCTTAAAAGGGGACAAAATATTTGAAATGAAGTCATTGCAACTTTGAAGCCTACAAAATTATGAGATCTCTGGGTGTCTGCTTTTCAGCTCCTGCAGCTGAAATGAACTGGGCTCTGAAATGAACTGCATTTTTCTTCAGAGGCCCTCAAGATCCTTATTTTGTTTCTATGATTTGTACAAGGCCAGGGAGTCAACCCACTGAACTTTGACTCACAGGATGCCTAGTGGGAATAGGGAGGCTGCAGAAAGCCTCTCTGAGCCAGAGTAACTTCCACGCTGGGCTGTGGTTGTTTTCTTGGAGATGATAGGGAAGAGAAAGAACAACTCTTCAGTCCCAGCCTTTCTTTCATTTGTCTTCTGCTCTTTCCCTTCACTTCTCCCTGGGTTTGAATCTCAACTTTGTCCTTTACTAGCTGTGTGACCTTCGGGCAAATTACTTTCCCTCGCTAAACCTTAGTTTCCTCATTTATAAAAATGTACATACCTCATAATTGTTACAGGAATAACTGAATATTATATATATATGCACACTCATTTACTACACACAAATACATACATATATGTACACACATTTGTATACACATACACAGGCAGTATGGAGCCTTGCATATAGGAAATGGTCAATTAATATTAGCTACTATTGTTTATTGTTGCTCTTATCTCGTTGATGCTCTTATCTTTGTTGTTGACTGGGAAGGAGTTTTTCCTGGGGCTTTTTTTTAAGCTTATGTTTGTTTTCTAAAATATGAATTTTTGAATCAAGTAGCAATCTGTCATTATTAGAAACTCTCTGTACAGTACACATCTGTAAGCTATCCTGTTCACATAGCCTAGAATGTGACTATGAATGCATTTGATTATTTGTTTTTTTTAATGAGTTTTATTTAGATTTTATTATTATTATTTTTTAAAGATTTATTTATTTATTATTCAAGCACTGGGTACAGTCAGAAGCCCGGGAGGGTGAGAGAATTCACCAGAGCCAGAGCGGGGAGCAGAGCAGGCAGAAGGACTGAAGCACACTGCTGAGGGGAGCAGCGGGCGGCAGGAGAGGTCTGCGTGCCATGTGGGACCCTCCTCCGGTGGCCGGGAAGCAGCAGGGGATTGAACCTGCGCTGCTCGCAACCCAGCGCTCAACCGCTGCGCCACCAGGGAGGCCCTGATTATTTGTTAATAAGGAGTTTTCTAATAGTTAAAGTGGTCAGGAGAAGGGTAAACTGTCCTGGAAGGTGATGAGCTCCTAGTTTCTGAAAGGATTCAAGCAAAGTTGGGTGCCTCTGTCAATAGAGGATATAGAAAGGAATTTTTCTTGATTTGGAGGTCAGACAAGATGGTCCTCACCGTCCTCTGCCCTCAGAGTATCTATCTTGCACTGAGAGCAGGACTCCTGAGGTTTGAGCCTCTGTGTGTTCTCATGGGCCTTGGTACACTATCAGAAGCCCAGCAAGTGGCCATGGAAATGAATGAGTGACTTCCAGCTCCCACCATCCTGTCTGCCAAAATCTTTCAATTCAGGACAGGTTGCGGGCAGGCATTCCAGACTCGGCATTGTATGTGTCCTCCCTGAACTAGATTGCAAGGACACCCAGTCACCCCAGGACAGCACTCTGCAGGACTGGCTCCAGGACGTGCTTTGCCTTTGAAACCACAGCCACTCACCTCATCTCCTGATTTATCACTTTGATGTTTCCGTTTTCCATTAGTGAGTAGTTGGCTTGGTTGCAACTTCCCTTCTCAAAGCTCAGTGGGATCTTCTCAATTTCATACCATCTTCCAAGATACTGCAGAGACAACAATAAGCAGAGCAAAACCTGTAGCTCTCTGGGGCACCCGCCATCTCTTTACCACTGTTGTCTTTCAGAGCAGAGCCCTTTCCTGGGGAAACCAGGCAAAATGGGCTGCATTGTTCCCAGTGCCACCGAGCAAGATATTGATTCAAAGGAGGAGAAATGAATCGGATGTGTGGGCCTTGGGCAAAAGCCACATTCTATTCCTAAAGTGCTCTTTATTTAGATGTGCTGTCGGTGTCCTCTTCAGCCAGAATCTGTGTGAAATTCTAAACTCTGTAAAAAGAAGGGACTGATCTAGGTGCCTCCCATCTCAAACATTTGGTGATTCTATAAGGCATCCTTGAATGTTTTCAAAGTCAGATATGTTCACTGTGGGAAGCTGAGGTTCAAGAGTCGGTTGAATTCTCCTCATGTGAACCCACACAGGGAGTTGGGCACTAAGGTTTTTGGCAGGTGACCAGGATTTAGAAGATTTGTATTATTCTTCCATGGGGGGCCTGGATCTCAGTTTACAGCTTCTGTGTATGGAGTCAATCTTAAAGGAACTGTACACTGTGGGTGAGGGCAAGGGGAGACAGGTGCTCTCGTGCGTCAGACAGCAGCATAGACCGCTCTAATTTGCAATCTTCGTGGAGGACAATTTGGCAACATCTAGCAAAACTAAAAATATATATCCTCTGGCCCTATAATTTCACTTCTGGGAAATGTATCCTCCTGATAGTCAGAAATGATGCATGTATAAGGTTATTGATTGAGGCACTGTTTGCAATAGTAAAAGACAGGAAACAGCCTAAGTGAGCATTAGTAGGGGCTGGGGTAAATGATGGCACATTCATACAGGGGAATGTTATCCGCCCCCTTTTAAAATAGCAATGTGCAATTATCCCTGCCATACAGTTAAAAGAAAAAAGAGCCAGGTGCAAAATGGTGTATATATTTAGTATCCTTTTATTGAAAAAATATGGGAAAAGATTATTATGTTGGCTTTCTATTGCTGCTATAAAATTACCATAGGGGCCTCCCCAGTGGCGCAGTGGGTTGAGCCCAGTGCTGTGAAGCTGTCCGCAGCCTCTGCAGAGCAGTTCAATTCCCAGCCAGCCAGGGAGCTACCCACATGGTGCGGCAGACCTCTCCTGTCTTGCCTGCTGCCCCCCTCAGCAGTGTATTTCAGTCAGTCTGCCTGTTCTGCTCCCCACTCTGTCTCTGGTGAATCCTCTCACCCTCCTGTGCCTCTTGCCTGGACCCCAGTTCTTATATAAAAGTAAATAAATCTTTAAAATAAAATAAAATTACCATAAGCTTAGAGCAACACACATTTATTATTATTTTTTTTTCCTGTAGGTCGGGAATCTGACATAAAGCTCATTTGCTAAAGTCAAGGTGTTGATAGGACTGTTTCTTTCCAGACAATCTAGAGGAGAACTGCCTTCTCACCCTTCCAGGTTCTAGGGGAACCTGCATTCCTTGCCTACTGAGTTCCCCATCTATCTTCAGAGCCAGCAAAAGTGGCTCAAATCCTTCTCCCATTGCATCGGTGACTTCTGCTCCATAATCCCACCTCTCTAACTATGGCTGGGGAAGTTTCCTCTGCTTTTAATGACTAGATTGGGCTCACATGGATAATCTGGAATACTCTTGCTTCCTGAAGGTACATAACTTCAATCGCATCTACAAAATTCCTTTTCTATGTAAAGCAACACACAGGTTTTGTGAATTAGGTGATAAACCTAATTCTGTCTCTCACAGCTATGTACATATTTGTTTGTATACTTACACATTGTCTCCCATGAGACACACAATAAGCTGCCTTTACCAGTTTTACTGGGGAGGAAAACTGAGACTGGTTTACAGGGGTGAGAGAGAAATTTTTCATTGTAAGTTCTCTTGTACCTTCAGGATTTTGAACCATGTGATTGCATTTACTAATCAGATATTATTGAAATTATATAGCAATTTAAAAATGTATTCCTTGACAAAATGAAATCAAAGAGATGCAAAAAGTCAGAATTTAAATGGAAACCATGTGGCAAACAGCATCAGTATAGCTTCTGACACAGGGCTCTCTGCTTACTATCTGCGCACATTTCTGACATACATTTTCCATTAATTTACTAAAGCACAGTTTTCAATTAAAATGACTGAACCTAACATTCATTGATCAAGGAATAATGTTAAAAGTCAACTGGTTTTACAGGCAAGCTCATAAAAAGCTCCATTTTATTTAGTGCTATCTAATGGTTCTGTTATTATTGATGTGATTTTAGCATTCCACAATTCAAGCTGAGGAAGCATAATTTTCCAGAACAGAGGAAATTCAGGGATGGAAAATGCTTTTTATGTCATGTTGCCTATGGTCTCTTATTATTTTTGTGAAAGTCTTTTCATCTTTTTGGATCTCAATTTCTCTATATAAAGAGAGTGCAAAGTCAAAAAGAATTCTGAAAAGAAAATAATAATGTGTTTATTTGCAGATGACATGATTTTGTACATAGAAAATCCTAAGGAACACTCACACTCTCTCTCACACACACACCATTATAAATAATGAATTCAGCAAAGTTAAAGGATATAAAGTCAATATAATGACCATATACATATATAAAGTATATTTCTATACTTAAAATGAACAATCTACAAATTAAACTAAGAAAATTACATTTACAATAACATTAAAAGAACAAAATACTTTTTTTAAATTTATTTATTCATTTATTTGTTTGTTTGTTTTTTTGTTTATACAAGCACTGGATACAGTCAGAAGCACGGGAGGGTGAGAGAATTCACCAGAGCCAGAGCAGGGAGCAGAGCAGGCAGAAGGACCGAAGTACACTGCTGAGGGGAGCAGCGGGTGGCAGGAGAGGTCTGCGCGCCATGTGGGACCCTCCTCTGGTGGCCGGGGAGCAGCTGGGGATCGAACCGGCGCCGGAGAGGCCGCGGGCAGCCTCGCAACCCAGCGCTCAACCGCTCCGCCACCGGGGAGGCCCAAGAACAAAATACTTTTGAATAAATTTAATGAAAGAAACAAAAACGTACTTTGGAAACTATAAAACATTACTGAAAGAAATTAAAGATTTAAATGGAAAGATATCCTGTGTTCAGGGATCAGAAGACTTGAAATTGTTAAGATGACAATAATCCCCAAATTGATTTTCAGATTTCATGCAATTTTTATCAAAAACACCAATTGATTTCTTTGCAAAAATTGACAAATAGTTCCAATTCATATGGGAATGCAAAGGACCCAGGATAGACTAAAGAACAAAGTGGGAGAACTTAGACACTCTAAATTTCAGCAATCAAGAATATATAGTACTGGCATCAGTTTAGAGATATAGATCAATAGAATAACATTGAGAGTCAAAAAATAAAGTCTTACATATATAGTAAATTGATTTTCAACAAGGATGCCAAGACTATTCAATAGAGAAAAATAGTCTTCTCAACAAATAAATCTAGGACAACTGGATATCCACATACAAAAGAATGAAGTTGGGTCCCTATGTCACACTACAGACAAAATTTAACTTAAAATGGATCAAAGGCTTAAAAGTAAGAACTAAAAGTATAAAACTCTCAGAAGTAAATATGGGAGTAAATCCTTATAAATTTGGAATACCCAACATATTTTTAGATATGATGCCAACAACACAACAGCAAAAGAAAAATATAGATAAATTGGATTTCATTAATATTAAAAACTTTCATGCTTCAAAAGACTTATCAACAAAGTGAAAAGGCAAGCCATAGAATGAGAGAAAATATTTACAAGTCAAATATTTGATAAGCGAAATTATATCTAAAATATAGAAAGATCTCTTTTATTTTGATATTTAAAAGATAAATAACCCAATTGAAAAATGGGCAAAGGACTTGAATAGACATTTCTCCAAAGAAGATGGCCAATAAGCACATGAAAATATGCTCAACATCATTAGCGGAAAACACAAATCAAAACCACACTGGGATACTACTTTGTATCCTACTATAATTGACTATAATGAAAAAGATAATAATAGTAAGTGTGGATAACGATGGAGAAATTGGAATTATACACTGTTGGTGGGAATGTAAAACGGGGCAGTTTGGTAGCTTCTCAAAATGTTAAACATGACACTAACATATGAACTAGCAATTCTACTCCTAGGAATAAACCCAAGAGAGATGGAAATATATATCCATGAAAATCCCATAAAAACAAACACAGAAAAACCCTGTACATGAATGCTAACAGCAGCATTATTTCTAATAGTCAAAATCTGTAAATAATCCAAATGATGAACAGGTAAAATGCAGCTTAATTCACATAGTAGAATATTACTTGGCAATGAAAAGGAATGAATTACTGAAACATACTATATCATGGGTGTACCTTGAAATGTTATGCTTTGTAATAGGAAATCAGTCACAAAAGACCACATATTGCATGATTCCAATACTATGAAATGCCCAGTAAATTCATCAAAGCACAAAGTTGGTTACTTGGGGTAGGGAGTGTTGTGGGGAAATGGACGGTGACTGTTCAGGGGCATAGAGTTTCTTTTGGAATGATGAAAATTTTCAAAAATTGATTTTGGTGATGGCTTCTTAACACCATAAATATAGTAAATATAGTAAAAGTCACTGATAGTGAAAACTACTTTAGACAGGTGAATTATATCTCAATAAAACTATTACTTTAAGCATCTTGCTTAATTTTCAAAGGATTTGTAAATGCAGATAAATTATAATTTCCAAAGTATTTTGAGATCTTGACCCAAAAACTGAATTGGTTCTCAAAACCCTGCATATTTTTTTTTTCTTGTAAAGCTTGTGAACCAGCAGGATACTATCTCTTGACAGGGATATTCTAGGTATGAATCAACAGTAGTGGAAACCTCTAAGTGATAGTATCTAGAAAGTGCCTCTTTATATTATTTCCTCAAACTGGGCCAGATCCCCAGAAGAAAAACCACGTAAGGGGGAGCTAGATATATTCACATCCTTTTTAGTGCAGTTAACAAGAAAGCCCCTTGGGGAGTTCTGTCCTCTCCTAGACCCTGTTTGAGAAACCCATGGGTGTTCTGCTGGGAATCCTGGTTTTGAATCCCGTTTTGCAGGTGTGACTGGGGTAGATATAAGCTCTCGCTAACATTCAGCTGCTTCATCTGTAGATCACAGACAATAGTACTGTAGCAGCTGCTGGTGGTGTCTGTCCCACATCTTGTCAGCACGCCACTGGGTTTGCCTCAACCACTGGCAACAATTTCCGTGCACACTGCCAGCTTCCTTCCACCAGCCCAGTTCTTCTTCTCTGTCAAAGGGCTTTGCCAGGACCATAGGAGCTCCCACCACCCACTTGCATCATCAGGGTGAGAATTTGAGGCACATTCTATACATTTCCTCTGAGGATTCCCAGCGGCATTGAACGCTGAGTAACCTGCCTGATTGCTTTTCTGTCTTCTCTGCCTCAGTTTCCCCTCACACCCATTCATGGGATCATCTGCTAAAAGCTCTCTGCTTTCCAGTTCTTTTCTCAGTGTCTGCTTTGGGGGAGGGGTACCCCAAATAAGATACATACCTACCCTAAGGCTTGCTTTGGTAATCAAAGCACAGTAATAAAACTGAACCTTGGAACATGTTTATCAAATGAGAGATAGAGAAATAAATGGGAGCTTAGCTTTTACCTCACCTTATTTACGTCAAAATCCTCCTGCACTGGAGGAGTCGGGCACTTCCCAAGATGGAATGCTTGTCCCTCCGCCACCCCGAAGAGGCCAGCCAGGGCAGAAAGCAGCAGCACTAGTACCGTCACCATCTTGGGGCTGGGTGGCCTACCTGAAATTGGGGGGGAAGCAGCTAGAGTTATTCTGAGCCTCCTAGGGATATGGGGTCAACAGATAAAGATTTCTTGGCTGGCCATTCCTGCGGGGCTATGCCCCATCAGTCCCCTGCATCTCTCATCCTACAGGGCCACCTGAGCTGTCAGTGCCCCTGTGAAGCCTTCCTCCCTCTCAGCCTCTCCTGACACCTTGTGCGTCCATCGCAGCACACTCTGCTGGGACTGGAGTTAGCTCCATTTATTTTGCAACCTCCCTTCCCTCCCCTAATTGTACGTTTTCCAGGACGGGCACCATGCCTGATTCTCCTTGACATCACCATTGTTTGGCGTCAGGTGCAGGCTGAATGAACAGAAATAAAGTGGGGCCAGAGGAATAGACCAAGGGGGAGATGGAAGCAGTCAAATGAACCCTGAGAGAGAGAGAGAAAAGAGAACTCTGAGAGAGGGAGAGATATAGCGTTCGTGTCTCATAAAATTCTCCCATACCCACTCCTTCCACTTCTTACTGGGCCATTTAGCTCCACAGAGCAGCCTGGAAACCTCATTTGGGAACAGCGTGCAGGGGACTCGAGGGTCGCTCCAGCCGGGTGTGAATGCTGACCTTGCCACTAACTGTGTTCAATTTATGCTCGGTCTCCTTGTCTGTGGAGTGGAACTAGTCATCACACCAGCCTCAGGAAGCTTTATGAGAATTAAATGAGGTGAAAAAGCAGAGTCTGATAGAGACAATATGCCCATTAGATGCTAGTTATTATTATTTGGCAGAGTAGAGATGAATAATTGTTTCCTGAATTTCTTTTCTTAACATTCTATTGGGGGATAGTTTTCATAGTTGAAGTGCATTTAACCAGAGGAAGACTAGTAGCTAACGTATAACCGTGCCACAGGTACTTCAGCCCAATGTGCCCTTGGGAAGCTGCTCTAAGGAAGGTCAGCGGGCAGGGGGCTGCTGAGGAGGGTCAGTGAGCAGGGGTAGGGGGCTGCAGTGCTGTTGGAGGGAGGAAGCTTCCTGAGCGGTTCACTGCTTCTTTCACTGACTTGCTTTCAGTCTGTTCTCTTCCTTGTGACTCCTTGCCTGTAGCTGCACAAGAGCTATTTCCAGCTCTTTGCCTTTCTCCCTGTGATGAAGAGGATTGAATCAATGCAAGCAAAATGTTCTCAGATCTGAGCATTTAAAAGGATGTGTCATAACAGGAATAATTATAACCACTTTATTATGAGTTTCTAAACCTCCAAATAACCTTTCATAATCAATAGCTTTTCTGCTGGAGGCTTTGTTGCACTGTTTTCAAAAGAACAATTACATAATGAGTAAAAGCTGTCAGCTGGGAGAGTAGAGGGGTGGAGGGCTGGGGGGGTGGTCACTGAGCCCCACCTTGAACAAAGTGTGCTGTGGGACCCCTTCCTTAATTTTGAGGCTTTTCCCCCCGTTAGACCTTACCACTGTGTAAATGACACCTGCCTTTTAATCTTTTTGGGGGATTTGCAGAAACCCAGCTTAAATCCACAAAGATTCACATCCATTTTCAAGAACTTCTTAGGCTGCAGATCTCTAACCTTGACCCCCAGTATGCTCCAAGTTCAGTGCCTTCTCTAGAAGATCGACGTTATGCACGTACTACAAAAGCCCCCCAAAACTCGACGGGATCTTAGAGTGATTTATCCAACCCCCCCCACCCCAGGTGTACAACTGGGTAAGTTGAGACCCAGAAGGGACAGAGAGCTAGGACTTGAGCTCAATATCCAGTTCTCCATCCTGCAGTGTCCCTGAGCCTTGCTGGTTTCTGCACACCACCTTCGATGGCTTTTGTGAAAACCAATTTACAGACACCTATTTACAGGAGATTGGGAGGCTAGCAGACAGTTCTTGTGCAAGCACCATTGGTGTACACTCCAGATTCCAGCTGCAAGAGACAGGCCTTACATCTTCCAGGGGCATGCAGCATTGCTGTCCTTCCTGGTGGTGTAAAAAAACTTCCATTTTTTTTTTTTTTTTGTTCTAGGGATGTACACATATGTTCTTCCATGAGACCATACTTCCTAACTGCTTTTTATTGCTTTCTGAATAAAGCCATTTTGCTGGTGAAAAAACTGGCTGCTTATTTGCTTGAGGTCAACATCAACACTTTCAATAAATACCTACCTCTGTAACCTGATGAGTTTCATCTCATCACATGGCAATTATACCAAAAGTCAGTTCTATGTCTTCTGACAAATATCCTATTACAGAATGTTCTGTTGTGGGCTGAAATGTGTTCTTTAGCTCTGTAGGAGGATTGCAGAGCAAAGCAATACTCTTGATTGCATCTCTTCCAAAGATACCTCTTTATTGCAGTAGTTTTATTCTTATTAAAACTTTTTGTGAGCAAAAGAGTTGATAGCATCAGTAATTTTTTTTGTTTGCATTGCCCCTTTCATTCCAATTCAACCAACACTGATTAGAGCAGCTTCTGAGAATAAATCACATTATTAACATATACCTATTGTTAACTGAAATAAAAGCCTCGATGATAGTTAGACAAAGAGCTTATTTAGATAATCAAAGTAAAGATCTGAACCTCGGAAGGAGTCTGACATATCATACTCTGCAAGAACTATTCCAACAATCACAGGTTGAATTTAGTTTATATCAGTAAGAAGAGTAAGTCATCAATATTCAAAATATAATTATTTTTGACAGAGGAGTTTCTAACTTGTGTAGACTTAAAGGTATGTTGATGCTATCTATGTGCAGAGGAAGGCAATACTAGGATTTAATCTCTTCCTTTCTGAGGAATGCACCATGGAGATGCAAAGCCTGGATATTCATGTTTTAAATCTTTATCTGGATCCTTGGTCACTAGTGAGAACTGAAAAGACTGGCTTTAACATAGACATCAGATTTTGCATAGCTCTTTCACAGACTTCAAGGCTTTGCTCTCTTTTCTGCTAGAGCAGGGCAGCCTTGTTCCTAACCAATGCCCTGGCCTCAGCGTTTTACAGTGCCATGCACTGAATCTTCATGGCACTCCCTCCATCTCGGAAAAACCTGTGCTGACATTCTCTTTGTGATCACTGTGCTCAACCCGGTTGCTTCTTGGCAAGATGTGAATCTAGAACTTATGCTCAGGTTCCTTATGAGGCTGTATTCGTAACACATGCAATTAGCATGGACCTAGGAGCTGCGGAACATTAAGGATTAAATGTTTAGATTTCATATGATAAAATAAAATGTATTTGAATAAGTGGATTTTTAAAATCCACTTAGCTATTGAACCTAACAAGTAAATACATATTCTAAGAAAATAATTTTATTGCCATATTTTAAAGGTGCTTTCTATTCACACATACTATGAATACCAGTTCACTTTTCAGTTAATTTTCCTGAGATGCCCTGAAAATGCATCTAGTACAGTATCGTGTGTAATGTTCTCTTGTCTCATATAGTCAAGAGGGGGATGCATAGTGCAAGAAGACTTTGAGATGAGTCAATATTAGGCAGGCACCCCACCTCTGCCATTTGTTGGCAATCTTATTTTAGAACTGTTGCTTATCTGAATATCTGAACCTTAGTTTCCGCATCTGAAAAACAGAACTAATAATATCCACCTTTAAGGTTATCTGAGGAAAATTGAGACCAAATCTGTGAAGCTACTGGCACAAGCCCTCAATCTTGTTACTTAATATTTTCTGCTGAAAAGGGGCCATCAAAAGTCAAGACTACCTCTATCTTAAGCATTATCATAAGTGAAAATTAAAACAATACATACCTTTTTTAAAAAATCAAGATGAAGGCAGTTTTCATTTGCAAAATCCTCCAATTGGAGATGCCTTGTCTTGGTGACTGCATTCTCCCAATCTATTTTATAAGCTTCATCAGGTCATTGATGTTTAATTTTAATGAATGCCACACCCCCCTACAGTTCAGAAAAACTGGCCTAAAAGCTTAGCTCTGTATGAAACACAAAGATGGGATATTATGTCCATCTCCCTCCCCGATTTCCTTCACAGCTGTTTCTGAAGAAAAAACAATGAGACATTGTGTGTGTGAAAGAAAGACAAAATGTATTTCATTCAAAACATCTTTTTTGCTATGTGGATTTTAAAATTTAATTTGCTTGGATAATGCACTTTTGGTATCCAATAAGATGACTTGCAACATGTTTTCTAACATCTGGTATTTATTTTTTCATTTTTGTGTAAATGAAAAATCAACAATCCCATTTCCTGAAATGGAGCATGAATTCCACCCCATGTGGACCTGGCCTGGATGCAGCTCAGGCACCAGTGTGAAAGTTAGAACTTTGAGTTGGTTTTCTATTTTCTATGGGGTCCTGGGCCAGCCACCCCTTCTCTGAGCCATGGGAAGTGGACAGTTTCCACCGGAGTTGGTGTATAAGGGAAATAGCAGCTGTGTAGCAGTGGGGTTAAAAGCTAAGCACACCAAAGGTATTTTCTGCAGCTCCTCTCTGTGTATCTCTGATGACCTCCAGCCTGTAGCACTGCTTGGGGTAAAACTGGGGGGAGGGTGTGGATTTAAGCCCAGGGGCACTTTCTTTTTTTTCCCCCCTTTTAATTAATTAATTTATTTATTTAAAAATAAATTTTATTTTTATATTCCCCATACAATTGCAACCCGCTTATTTTGACCCCAATCCCTCCCCTCCCTGTCCCCACCCCCCATAGAGTGTCTCTGGTTCATAGTTTTTTGTTGATTTTGATTTTCACTTTCTTATAGTTATTCATTTTCCTGGTCCCTTATTTAGGTTTTCTAGATTCTTGCTATGAGTGAGACCATCTGGTATTTTTCTTTTTCTTCCTGGCTTATTTTGCTGAGCATGATCCCTTCCAGCGCCATCCATGTTGCTGCAAATTGCATGTGTTTATCTTTTTTGAATGCTGAATAATATTCCATGGTGTATATGTACCACATCTTCTCGATCCAGTCATCTATTTTTGGGCTTTTGGGTTGTTTTCAGGCACTTTCGGTTTAGACTCCTCTCTCTCTCTCTCTGGAAAGAAAAGCTTTGATTCTTAGCATAGAATTGGGTTCTATGTTTTTGTGATAAACTGGAAGTATTTTTAGTGGCATATAGATAAGAGTACCTTTGCAGTTTACTTAGATTCCTAAATAGAATTCATTCTCAAAATATTAAACAATAGAGGGAAATTTGCATACAATATTTATAGGCATTATAAATATTGACTACAACAAGAAGAGTGAATGCTTAACATAGGAAATTTTTGGCATGTTCTTTACCTTTTCAGGAAACTTTTTTTTTCTTAAAGATTGTTTTAATTTATTTATGCGTAGAAGAACTGGGGTATAGGCCAGAGGTGCAGGGGGTGAGAGGATTCACCAGAGACAATGTGGGGAACAGAACAGGTGGATTCACTGAAATACACTGCTGAGGGGAGCAGTGGGTGAGACAGGAGAGGTCTGCTGCACCATTTGAGTTAGTTCCCTGGACAGGGATCGAACTCATACTTTAACTCCTGCATCACTAGAAAGGCTTTCTTTTCCTGTTCAGAATTCTGACCTTTGTTGTCTCCTATAATGCTTTGCCCTCAGTTTTCCATGCCTCCCCTCCCTACATGTCTCTGCTCAAATGTCACTTCTTTTAAAAGGCCTTCCTGACCTGTCAAAAATAGTACTCTTGTCACTATTACTTTACCTGCTTCATTTTATCCTTATTACATCTTTATTTTATTGCTATCTTTTCTTGTTAATAGTGTGTTCCCCAGAAGGATACAAATTCCACAAGTGTAGAGAACTTGCTTTGGTGATTTACTGTTGTACCCCTAGAAGCTAGAGCCCATAATAACTGCTCAGTAAACACTTGTCAATTAAATAGAATGGACCTACCCAAAGAATTTACTGAATATTCTAAGACATACAAAAGGAACTAGAGGAAATATTCAAGAGACTTTTATTTGAACTGTTTGCCTAGGAAAAGTACTAGCTTGTAAGAGTCTTTGTCTTCTTTACTGAATCATATTTGTCTCAAAAAGTTAAAAAAAAGGTACACAATAAATCCCTCAGCCTCATAAAAAGAATATTTCTCCCTCTACTCTAGAATTCATTCTCAAAATATTAAACAACAGAGGGAAATTTGCATCACAATATTTATAGGCATTATAAATATTGGCTACAACAAGAACAGTGAATGCCTAACATAGGAAATTGCTAAATGTAGTTTTTGTTAAAAGTAGTTTAACATAGGAAATTGTTAAAAGTAGTTTCCACAAAGCAATATTGCTAATGTTTCCAAATATGTAAGCTGGAGATCAAATTCTACCAATCTATTGACCTATCAATATCTACATCTATCATCTCTATCAATTTTATTCCTCAACATTGAAGCAAGAACGGCGAAGTTGGAGGGACTAGTCTAGGAATTATAGTAGGAAAAGAAATCACATTTCTTTCCTGGGTCTCAGTTTATTTTATCCTGAAAATGTTGGCAAAAAACATAATTTAGGGAAATCCTTTCTTCACCTGTTTCATATTTATGGAGCCAAGCACATGTTCTTAAACATGGTTTATTAAACAAATCAGACCTATGTTCTAAACAAGTCTTTATTTTTTTAATTCCAAAACAGTACACGTTTGTTGTAAACAATTAAAATAGCACCAAAATGTAGGACTCAGAAAGTGTAAATGGGGCCTCCCCGGTGGCGCAGCGGTTGAACGCTGGGTTGCGAAGCTGCCCGCGGCCTCTGAGGTGCCGGTTCGATCCCCGGCTGCTCCCCGGCCACCAGAGGAGGGTCCCACATGGCGCGCAGACCTCTCCTGCCGCCCGCTGCTCCCCTCAGCAGTGTACTTCGGTCCTTCTGCCTGCTCTGTTCCCCGCTCTGGCTCTGGTGAATTCTCTCACCCTCCCGCGCTTCTGACTGTACCCAGTGCTTGTATAAACAAACAAACAAACAAATAAATAAATAATACATGCTTCTAAAAAAAAAAAAAAAAAGAAAGTGTAAATGTTCATAATCCCACACTTCAGAGGTAACCATTGTTATGTCTGCATTTATTCTTTTGTTATTCTAACATAATAGCAATAATAGCATCACTTTTCAGTGTTCTGAAACTTGTTTTCCAGTAATAACGCATCACTCTATCATTTCACACAGTTTGATCAATACATGCATCATCCTTTTACTTGCTACAAAATCTCAACTCACAATTACCTGACAGCACATTTCTTCCAGAGACGGCCTTTGGCTTAGCAGAACAGTTCTTTGCTTGGGGGAACTTCCATGATGTAGGTGATTGCCTCAGGGGTTTCATCTAAGGCCCTCAGTGCAGATGAAATTGTTTTGGAGGACGTTTTGTAATAAGAAATAGAGAACTGTCCCATCTTTTAAAAAAGTTTTTCACTGATGAAAACTTTTCTATTTATAAATAAGCGGTTTTCTCGACTACCATCGTCCTCCTGTGTGCCCTTCTGAAGTGATATTTCTTTTGTCAGTTAACATAACTTTTCATGTGAAAGCCCAGACTAAGAGTTCTTTATAACACATATTCATGCTTTAAGGTTCAGCTCAAAAGTTCCATCCCTGGTTCCTCATCCGGCAGCGTTCCTCCCTCTTTGTGCTGCGTTCTTATGACACACATGACTTTGTTCTCAGGTGCATCACACCTTAGCCAACACCATAAGGGCTCATCATCTCCTGAAGATAGTCAGAGTCTGTTTGAGTCAGTTTGTCTTTTTATCCCTAGTAAATTGTATAATGCCTGACCTATAATAAGTGTTTACTACATGATGTTGGATGATTGAATAAAAGGATGTCTAATTCTCATTAATTGCAGGATTACTATGCAACTCATGATTTATTCAGGTGCCCTCTACATCTCCTTTCTGTCCTCTTATAACCTTCCTTTATTCCTAAGAGTTGGAACCACTGGAGAGACAACAGTGCCAAGCATCTGGTGAACAGTAAGAAAACAATCAAATTGGTGAAAACTGCAATTTGACATGACATGGGGGGAAAGAACGCTGAACTGGAAGTCAGGTGACCTGAGTTCTCAGCCCAGCTCTGTTACTAATTCACTTATCCATTCATTCACTCTTTCAACAACAGATCTCCAGCACTGCCCTGTTCAGTGGTGTGTTAAATCCTGCAGCTGCGGTGGTGAAGATGAAAGACAAGGTGCTGGCTCTTGTGGGGCTTGCTTTCCAGAGGAGACTCAGATACACACACCAGAAAGTAACTATGGGAGAATAGGGTGATGTGATAGGAAGTGACTGGGTGACTACCTCTGCCTGGTGGTCATGAAAGCCCACTCCTAGTACTGAGACTTCAGCTGAGGTGTGGATGGTAAAAAGGAAGCAGTCAGTCAAGGATTATGGGAAGAGCATTGTAGGAAGAATATCATTGCAGGAAGAAAGCTTCAAAGGTAGGAATATATTTTCAAGGAACAAAAAGCTTGGAGAGGTTGGCAAAATCTATATTTTGCTTTTAGAAATTTGGTTTTTATTTCAGGTACAATGAGCAACCATTAGTGGGTTTTGAGCAAGAGCGTCTAAGATCAATCAGGTTGCCCTGCCAAGAATGGATTGCATAGTGGTTACAGAAGGATTAATTGAGAAGCGATTACATTCTTTCAGGCAACAGTATCTTAGACTAGAGTAATTCTAATGAAAAAGGAGAAAAGTGGATGAATTTGGAAAATGCTTTGAAGATAAAGTGGACAAGATTTATTGATAGATTGAATATGGAAGATGAGGACAGAGGGGGCTCAAGATTGACTCCTAGATATTTTTGTCGAAGAATTGGGTGGATGCTCGTGCTAATGACTAAAACCAGGAAGACTGATGAGGAGCATGTTTGGGAGGAAAACTCAAGTTCTTCCTGGAAAGATTATAGCTGAGTTGCTACT